AAAGGGACCAAACGACGTTACGCTTCAGATTTGGTGTTGGCATTTGACGTGTTCACATGTTGTATGCTGGCTCTGTATCTCCTGGGCTGGGCTTTTAAACCATGCTATATTAAGTCTCCATCAGTCTCTGAAACCTCTTCACACCTGAACCTGGCTCACAATAATTCATCAACACAGGTGAACGTTCAAAGAAGAGTTGTGGATCATGTATTATGTTATTTGGTGTAATTTTCTATTCCAGTAGCCTATGCCATCATCACCGCTCTGATCTGTGGGCGTAGCCTAAAACAACTTATAGAGCATAAAGTCAGCCATTGCTCTTTACAGCAGGACACAGCAGATCAAATTGTGACCACACTGTCCACTTAAGACCATGTTGGTATTTTACTGTTTCCCATCACAACTAAGCTGCCATTTAACACAGACGTGTTTACAAGGTGATGTTACTAGCCTCAGCCAAGATTTGGTTACAACACTAGACTAATGCTAGAAAGAAAAAGATAGAAAGCAATCAATTGACAGTGACTATTGATTATTAAAATGTTGATTAAGGGGCCAACTGGGCAATAAGTAAATATGAAGAATCGCATATTCAGTCAAGTCATAGTATGAATAGTATTTTACCTTTGAGAATGAATTAAAGTTAACCCGGGTCACCAGTTTGAATGGGCCTGACGGAGCTGATCACATTAACATCAGCCAGTGCGAGCACAGCAAGAGATGTACAGCCAGCATCAGATACAAGCACCTCAGACTCTAATGGAATTGTTGCTGCTCCACCAAATTGAGGTCCATTCAGACCAGCTTTCGAGGAGGTTTTCTTTCAGGCTTATTACATATAGACTTAAAAGAGTGAGGATTGTAGTGAGAGCACTACGGTGTCAGGTGTGACTGTACAGTAGTAGCAAATTGTTTACATGGCTCAGAGTCAGGTAGGAGGGCCCCAGGGAAGTCAGGGCCAGCTCTGCTTGTAAAGTCACTTTAACTAGACATTTCAGTTGTCATATAAGCGTCTGGTAATCAATGTACTGTAGCTGAGATATCAGTGAATTCAAGCTCAAAGTTTTGGATGCGATACGCAACGATTGCGGCTCGGCCAACTCCAGTTACCTGTATCATGTCAGCAGCCCAGCTGACTCCTGGACCTGCTGTTGAGCCACAGCAGCTGATCAACTCCGCTCTACTGCAGCTACCCCTGAACTCTGCTCTGGTTGTGCCTTTTTTACGTCAGTCCCTTTAACCTGTTGAACTATAGCTGCCCCCTGGTCTTGCTGGGTGGCATCCATCCACCTCCGTTGTCCCCTTTGATGCTGCAGCTCCACTCCAACTTTACTCCCCCGACTCTGCTGAACCGCTGCTTCCCCCGGATTCTGCTGAACAGGTTTCACCTGGGCTACTGCTGACCCCAGTCTTGGAGTTACTGCAGTTTTCCAGGTTGTCCAGTTGCTGGTTTCCAGCCCAGCTGTCCTGTCAGTGACCTCCAGTCCTCCTGTCCTGTCGCCGGTCTGTCACGATCCTGTCCTGAGTGCTGTGTTTTTGTGTTTTGATTCGGAGGGTTTGGTTTTGTACCTGCAGGTTAGGCTTGTCATCTGTTTCGTTTAGTTCTGAGTTTATTCATTTATCAGTTAGGTATCTGTTATATAATATATGGTCTTGTATCCAGTCTTTGTGGTCTCTGTTGTTCTGTTTTTTCGTCTCCCCTAGCCACCCTGTCTTATTTGTTAGAATCCCTTTTGCTGTGCTGTTAGTTTAGACTTAGTTTTAGTTTGCTTGTTACCCATAGCGTGCGTCTTCTGCCTGATGTTATTGTTTGTCTGGTTATCATCTGTCAGCTGGTGTTTAGTGGTGTTTTGGTATTTTGCTGATTTCAGTTCTGTTCCAGTCTCATGTATTAGTTTCTGTACCATCATGCTCGAGTTCTGTCTGCTTGTCTATTTATGTTCTCTGCCAGTTTCATTAATTAATCTGATTTTGTTCATTCTGCTCTAGTCTCTGTGTAGCCTTTATTATTATTCATCCACATCTTACTTAGTATCTGTCTTGTCTCGTATCTTAGTTCTTAGTCCTGTACCTTAGTTCATGTCTTAAGTGTTCCCTCCTGGTCTGTGTACTTCGGAGTTTCGCCCATGTCTATCTGAGTTCTGTTTTACCTTAGCTTCAGTCTGTTTTTGCTGGTTGTAGTTCTTGGTGATCTGTCTGCTTGTGTCTTTATTAGTTTATATTTATCCCTCTGATCTGTTTTGTGTTCCGTAACCTGTGTCATGTCTGTTCCCTCCAGTGCCCCTCTGCCTGGCTGTCTCTCTGTTCTCCCCTCTGCTCTCTCCCTGCCCACCTGTGTTGCTCCCGCCCTGCCCGTTAGTCTATGTGTGTGTGTGTGTGTGTGTGTGTGTGTGTGTGTGTATATACCTGGTGTTTCTGTCTAGTCTTTGCGGTGTCTTGCAGTGTTTTTGTCGTGTGTATATGCCCTGTCTCCTGTTGTCTGCCTTGCTCGTCTGCCTTGCTCGTCGTGTCTCCCCGTTTTCCTGCTTTCTGGATTATTTTCCCTTCTTAGATTTTCTCTGTTTGGATCACCTTCTTTTTTGGACTTTTTTTAATTAATAAACCTGTTGAACTGTACCAGTCAGCCTACCTGTCCTGCATTTGGGTCCACCAACCACCTCTACCCTACACCCACCGTGACACGGTCCTCAGCCCAGCAGCCTCGGTTTCCTTTTCTAGTGCTTCGCTGTCAGTCTTCAGTCCTGCGCTGCCTCTGGAGAATCTCAGCCTTATCGCCGGCCTCCTGCTCGACCCCCTAAGGCCCGGCAGGAGGGTTTCTGCCCTTGCTCTCGGCCCGGCTGACCACAGCCCTGATTGGGTTGTCAGTCCAATCCCCAGGCCGCCCTCCTGATCAGCTCAGCCAGTCAGTTCAACCTTCATGTCATCCCCAGAACTGTTAAGTTTCCACTCCCAGCCCTCTGAGTCTCCCTGTCTAGCCCCATTACCTGCTACAGATCACCCACCAGGGGTCCCTGGTCTGGCCCTTTTCACTGGGCATACATGCAGCATATCTCTATTGACATATCCTAGGTGCCTTACTGGTGCCATATGTCAGCTTTGCTGTGGCATGTGGGATACCTCTGTTCTCTGTTTTCAGCTCAGCCTCTGACTGAACTCTGAACTCACCAGGAAGTCCACACGTTTTTTTTATTTCCCTCTTGTATCTCTATTTTATCCTCTCTCCTATATTTATATGAAGCAGATTCATAAAAGAAAATACATTGTCCAGCTGTACAATAGCACAGTGGATTATTCTTTCACTGAAGCGCTTGATCGTATGATGAGAAATAAGAGAAGAAAATCAGACAAGAGTTAAGAGGAAAGGTTTTGTACTTTCACCATAACGCTGGATTACAACAAAATGGCTCTTAAAGAGCTCCTCTGGGTTTTGCAAATCAAAGCCCACCATTTGACCTAAACACTAGAATGAAGTTTTTATATTTAAAATGATTCAGGATCAGTCTCTTTAAGAAGTCCTGGCTCTTGTAAAACAGGAAGGTAGGCCTCTCCACACTGGAACTGGTTTTGTTTTATGGATTGATGGCAGAATATATTCAAATTAGGAAAAGTAGTAGTACTTTTAAAATATAACTGAAACCGCAAGTTCTTGATGTTGAGATGAACAGACGAAGAAGAAGAAAAACAGAAAATGAGAAGAGGGCTGGAGAGAGAGGACAGTGGGCCAGTAAAACAGAATATATTCTGGTTGTTGCGGGAAATGTGTTTGGCCTGGGCAACGTGTGGAGATTTCCTTACCTCTGCTACAAGGACAGTGGAGATGAATCCTACAGACTGTTTTTATAGAGTTCCATTATTCTGGCTGTAGTGAACTTAAATAATGTTAATATTGATGATTGGTGCAGTGAAAAGATATTACTTCATTCATTTGTAATTTCCATGTCCATACATGTCTCTGTATTTAAAATATATGTGCCTTTCTGGTGCCATATGGTCTAGGTTAGTTGTAGTATGTGGAATACCTCAGTTGGTCAGTACACCCAGGAAGGATCCATCACCAGTTGGAGGAAGTTGTGTCCACTGGCACAAGATAGGGCATCTTTTGTTTAACATCTACATGATTATGAAAAACAACAAAATATGTTACCATAATTATGCAGATGACACACAAATTTACATAACCATATCACCAGGAGACTATGATCACAAACAAGCGCTGAGTAACTGTGTTGAACAAATTAACAATTGGATGTGCCAGAATTTTCTTCAATTAAACAAAGATAAAACTGAATATAACTGATAAAACTGAAGTCAGAAGTCTCTGTTTTTGGAGCCAAGGAAGAACGATTAAAAGTCAGTGCTCAGCTTCAATCTGTAATGTTAAAAACCACAAACCAAGCCATAATCTCAGTGTAGTCATGGACTCAGACCTGAATTTAAGACAATTACACAGTCAGCTTACTATCATCTGAAGAATATTTCTAGGATTAAAGGACTTATGTCTCAGCAGGACCTGGAAAAACTTAAATGGCTCTTCAAGAGCTTCTCAGGGATTTGCAAATCAAAAGCCCACCATTTGACCTAAACACTAGAGTATCATATTTTATATTTAAAATGATTTCTAGCCAGCATATAGGCTAATTAAAAAAAAGACAAGCAAATATCAGTTTGAACAAACATATATTTTTATGCATGCTTTCAAACTAAGTCAGCATTGGTCTCTTAAATAAGTCCCCCCTGGCTCTTGTAGGGTACACATTGGAACTGGTTTTATTTCATGGTTTTAGGACAGTATACATATTCACATTAGGAATAGACAGGAAAAGCAGCAAATATCAGTTTCCACAAACATATATTTAAATGCATGCTTTCAAACTAAGTCAGCATTGGTCTCTTAAAGAAGTCCCCCCTGGCTCGTGTAAGGTACATATTCACATTAGGAATAGACAGGAAAAGCAGCAAATATCAGTTTGCAGTACTTTTGAAATCTAACTGAAAACACAATGGATGAAGTTCTTGATGTTGAGATGAACGGACAGAGAAGAAAAACAGAAAATGAGAAGAGGGCAGGAGAGAGAGGACAGTGGGCCAGTAAAACAGAATATATTCTGGTTGTTGCAGGAAATGTGGTCGGCCTGGGCAACGTGTGGAGATTTCCTTACCTCTGCTACAAGAACGGTGGAGGTGAATCCTTCAAGCTGTTTTAGAAGAGATGCATTATTCTGACTGTAGTGAACTGAAATAATGTTTGGTTGTATTAATGATTTCTGTGTGAAAAGATGTCACTTAGGCTAATTAATATGTAATTTCCATGAGCATACATGTCTCTGTATTTATTGTATAGGTGCCTTTCTGGTGCCATATGGTCTGTTAGCCGTAGTATGTGGGATACCTCTGTTCCTACTGGAGACCTCAGTTGGTCAGTACACCCAGGAAGGATTCATCACCGGCTGGAGGAAAATTTGTCCACTGGCACAAGGTGAGTTGATATGAGTTGAACTAAAATGTGCTGTCAAAAGAAAGAGATAAAAAGCCAATATAGTTTATACAATAAATTAATATTTTCTTCAAAGATTATTCAAGCTGTTTTGCCAGTATTTAATGTCTAATCAGGTTCTGTTGTTTTAACTGTGGTTTGTATTTCTACTGTAGGAATAGGATTTGGACAGCTGACGATTTCACTTTGTTTCTTCATCTACGTTTTAATTGAAGCTTGGGCTCTGTTCTACTTGGTGTTCTCATTCAGATCCCAGCTTCCCTGGGCCCACTGTGAGAACACCTGGAATACAGGTGAGGCTATTGAGTCTACTTTAAGTTGTTAAAGCTTGGAGAAAACATTAGCCAGTGTCTAACTCCATAGCCACAAAATTTGACCTAAAACCCAGTGGTCAATTATGCTAAACATTAGTTGTGGATCACTAAAATGATAAGCCACCGGTTGCCAGTTTAACACACATAAATACACCTTCACATCAACTTTACAGTTTAAAACCTTCAATTCACTTTACCTCAATGAAATTCTTGTTTGTCCCCAAACCAGCTAACTGCCTTGCTCTTCAGACTTTCAGTTCATCTAATGTGACTACAGATCAGACTAACACCACCTCTGCTGCAACTGAGTTCTGGGAGTGAGTCTGATCTTTTTCTTCAAGTGAACCATAATGAAATGTAAAGTAGTGTATCAGTATTTCACTTTTGATGCATACTGATACTTCAACTAAAACAAGTGATGTTTCTACATATGACTCTGCAAATCCCAACCTCACACATCCTTTTCCAGCACTTTGTGTCACATCATGGGTACCTTGTAAATTTCTCCTCAGACGGCGGGTGCTGGCCATGTCTAGAGGCATTGAGGATCTGGGCAGTGTGAGGTGGGATCTGGCTTTGTGTCTTCTTGCCTGCTGGGTGTTCTGCTACTTCAGTATCTGGAAAGGTGTCAGATCTTCTGGAAAGGTCCTGGCGAAACTCTCTTCTCTTTATCTACGCATATAATCATCACCTATAGTCATTACTTCTTTCATTTTGCAAACTATACCATAGCTTTCGGGGAGCTCAGTTTTGGTGTGTGTGGGGGGGCAGGCATAGTAATAATAATAATAATAATAATAATAATAATGATAATAAGTTATTATTATTATTATTATGTAGCCATTTTGCTACAATTACTCTTCACACGACAGCTGCAGCTGAGTTTGTGACCTGACCTTTATTTATTCTGTGAGAGGGAAGAATTTAGAAAAGTTGCGTGACGTGCAGTAGTACATGGATCATGCATAATATTCATCCAGCCAGAGGGAACGATCTGGTAGAGGGAGTGGGGCGGTGGAGCATAGAGGGACAGGAGATTGAGCCCGCTGCGGCTGGCCGGTCGCTCCACAATCTCTTGTCCCTCTGGCTGGATGAAGTCTGACGCTCCTGATTTTATGCATGGATCCATGATGATAGAGAAATATAGAAATTAATGGCAATAAAGCATGCTGTCAGAATTTTAGAGACTACACAAAATATCACAAATCATGCTTTTAGGGGAGCTGAGGGGAGCTGAGCTCCCCCGTAGTTTGCACAGTGCGTATAATCATCAACTTACAGTCATTATGTTTTCTTTAACAATTTCCTTTTCATTAAAGGTCGCATATTTTACGGCCACATTCCCCTACGTAATGCTCCTGATCCTACTCATCAGAGGCCTGACTCTACCTGGAGCTTGGGAAGGGATCTACTACTACCTGTATCCAGACCTGAAGCGCCTGGCTAACCTTGAGGTGGCATTTTTATTTGAACCCAATTTTAGAATTCCCCTGGGCATTAAAAAAGAGGAATAAGTCATTTGATGCATCTCACTGACAGGCCAACATTCTGTTGTGGGATCTTAATATAATCCTTCCATTGTGCTATCATCCATTCTGAATCTGACCTATATTTCCTTACGTTACAGGTCTGGATAGAAGCAGGATCTCAAATATTTTTCTCCTACAGCCTAAATGCAGGGACTCTAAATGTCCTAGGCAGCTATAATGACTACAACAACAACTGTTATAAGTAAGTGTCAGATATCACAGCTTTGATATTGTACTGTGTTTGAAGGTTTATCCAGATAGGGTTGTAATAGCAGCAGGCTAAGCGGGGTAGTGCAGATAGTCCTCTCCCCAGTAACATTTTCTAGCTCCTCCTGGGGGATCACAAGGTGTTCCCAGTCCAGATGAGTTTTTTGTAATCCCTCCAGCGAGTGCTGGGTCTACCCCAGAGTCTCCTCCCTTATTAGATGCCCGAACCACTTCAACTGGCTCCTTTCAATGCGAAGGAGCTCTGTGCTACCACTGGAGGTCAGTGCTCCTCACCCTAAGGCTGAATCCAGCAAACCCACAGAGGAAACTTATTTCGGCTTGGACTTGGTTGAAGATACTAGAAGACGTCTTCTAGTGTCTTCAACCAAGTCCAGTTGCCCTTGACCTCAACCTTCGTTGGACAACAGTCTGAACCTTTCTCTGAGCAACTCTCAGTCTCTCTGGGGTTTGTGAGCACCCCCCACACCCATCTGGCACCTCTCACCCTGGCCAACTCCGGAGAGGGAGAGAGTCCAGCCCCTTTTCAGGAGTTTGGTTCCTGGACCAGTGCGATGCATAGAGGTGAGCACAACTATATCTAGTTGGTTCTGCTTCACCTCCCACACCAGCTCTTGGTCCTTCCCTGCCAAAGAGGTAGCATCCACATCCCTAGGACCAGTCTGCCATGCTAAGAGCCAGTGTGCCTGGGTCCCTGCCTTTGCCTGCCACTCATCTTGCAAAGCACACGGCCCCAATGGCTATACCTGCACGTCAAAATAAAAGACAATATATTAAAGACACACTTACTTCCTTGCTCTTTTTGACTAGGGTCTACTGTCTTTCTGTGACTCATAGGGACTGCTTTTGGCTCTGTCTGCTGAACAGTGGGACCAGTTTTGTTGCTGGATTTGTCGTCTTCTCAGTACTTGGATTCATGGCTCAGAAACAGGGTGTTACAGTGGACAATGTGGTTGAGTCAGGTACAGTATATACAAATTAAATGTTTAAGATCTTAGTAAATAGTCAGTAAAACCTGAATACAATGCTCTAACATAACTAAGTATGTAGCATATGTATGTATGGGGTATCAACTTTCGCCTCGTTCTCATCACAGGTCCAGGTTTGGCCTTCATTGCTTACCCTCAGGCAACAGCTATGATGCCTTTGCCACAGTTTTGGAGTGTCTGCTTCTTCCTGATGCTCATTCTGCTGACAGTTGATACAAATGTAATAACATCTGTCACATAACCAATTGACAAATAGTAGACTTGCTTCAGACACAAATGAAATTGTTTGTTTATTTTACTGGTCCCCAGTTTGTTATTGTGGAGAGTTTTATCACCACAGTGAGCGACATGTTTCCGAAGTTGTTTCGTGCACCAGTGAGGCATGAGATCTTTGTCCTCATCATCTGTATATCCAGCTTCCTCATACAGCTTACCTTGGTTACGGAGGTAAACAAAAACAATTACATGAAACTTTCTTTATAAAACACAATAGTAAACATATTTCATTTTAAAAATGGTTTCCAAATGACGTGTTTTATTAACATGTTGTCCCTTCCTAGGGAGGAATGTATGTATTTCAACTTATAGATTTCTATGGCTCTACCAGAGTGTGTCAGAATTGTATGGCTATTTGTCAATGCCTGGCTGTGGGCTGGATTTTTGGTGAGTCAGATAACTTATTACTTAAAGCATACAAAATGTCTGGCATTTTTTCTATATAAACTTTGTATATATAGACGAAAATAAAAATAAAAAGGGAAATAGCTTCATGAGGTAGGGCACCAGTGCTAATTGCTTACGCTGTCTATGGCTTTTAGCCACAGGGTTGTTACTGAAGATGTGAATCTATAAAAAGAGAGTCAAAATAGTGCATTTGTTGGGGACTATTTTCAGTGGTGGATTAATACACATATTGGTCTTTTCATGGAATTTCTTGTCTGCAAGAAAATGGCAAATATCACCAGCCTCATTATTTAGATTTATACCATTTTGACAATATGACTTTTATTTGAACTTCCATCAGGTGCTGACCGCTTTTCTAACATCATTGAGGATATGACAGGACAGAAACCTTCTGTTTTCTTCAAACTGTGCTGGAAATACATTATTCCTCTGTGGTCACTGGTGAGTCAGGAACGTTTCTTTGTTTCTACCAATCATTTTACATACTTTCATTAACTGTCGCAGTTTATTGAGTTTTTGCCAAACCAGTAGAGCTGGATTTTGTGCTGCTTGATATGCTCAATTATTATGTGTGCATTTTACAATTTAATCTTCCAGCATCATCACATCTTGACTTAAAGGAGAACAACAACTGAGTTCCCACGGGACTTCAGCGCGAGACTACAGCTAGCCGTCTAAAACACTATTTAGGTGAATTTAAACAATGGCTAAGTTGCTAAACGCAACTTGTTCTCATGTAAGGGCCCTGTTCATGTTGGACTGACATTTTAATTGCATCTTGTGTCTGTTAAGAGGCACAAAGACACTCTTTATGTATATGCCCCCATAACTGCTGTTTTAGCTGAGTGGGAGTTCTGGGCATTAGCTGTAGCAGCTCCGTGTTGCAAGCACCAATCCGGTTCGTTTGTTTTTTCTATAGACAGTACTCACAAAGGTATAACGATCAAGATTAACTTAAAAATTGCCTGGAGTTCTCCTTTAACTGGCCTGCAAACTCTATTCGTAACTGTGACTTTTGCATTGCCAAAACTATCTTTTCCGCCAGATCTAAAGGAATGAAAAAACTTCAAATGGTTATGTATCTCTACACCTTCACAGATTTCCATTATCCTGTACCTGGTTGATTACAAACACCTGTTGATTAATGACTTCTACATTTACCCTGACTGGGCATACGCACTAGGATGGACCATGACCCTTTCCTCTGTTCTCATGGTGCCACTGTGGGCAGCTGGACAGATGTGTTTGACAGCAGGAACCTTCAGACAGGTCAGTGTCTGTATCTGTTAAAGCCTAAACAGCATGCTGTAGCTTCTGTCACTCAATTTTCTGCATGTGCAGCTGTTGTTTTTGGTATTGATCACTTAGCAAGTCTGAAGAGTCTAAAAGATGACCCAAAATGTCCGTATGATTATGGTAGTGTTTAAACTTAAGCTACTTGTTTTACTTGTTCCTGTGTTCCAGCGTTTGTCTGTCCTTTGTCGTCCTGCTGAAGCTCCAGCCTGGCGGAGGAGAAAAATGGGAGAGAAGGGAACAACTGTTGAACTGACAACATTCACTGTGACATCTTAGTGTGGCCTATGTAGCTATCACACTGTATATAAGCTTATTACAATCAGTGTAACTAAGATATTTGAACGGCAAAGCTCAAAATTGTGCTAAAACAGCCCAAATTAAACCCAAACAACCAAAAATTTGTCAATTCTTTTGTGGCTTTTTGTTTTATTTTAATGTAATCTGTAACTGTTGGCCAAACAAAACAATACAATGTACAAAAATACAAGAGGTCAAGAGGAGAGCTGGAAAGTTGTGAGAGGGGTTTCTCAGTATTTTATGACATCTTAAATAGATGAAAGATCAGAATCACTTTGGTCATGTATGTGTACACACACGAGGAATTTGACTCAGGTCTTGTGTTCATACGCAGAACAAGCATAAACAAACAGAACACTGTTTTAGACTGTTTCTTAGCTCTCTTAATTGATGTAACAGGGAAAAGTAAGACAGGTCGAGCTTAGAGTCATTAGCTGAACCCACAAGTGTTCACGGACCTTCCAGCTCTAGTTATTTCTTACATGTTCTGTCCTTGTTAGGGAGACAACAGTTAGACTAATAAGGAAGAAACAGTAGCTCAGGCGTCAGGCTAGCAGATATCAGTGTTCTCTGGGATGGATGTTTACAAGAACTCACTGGCTCCACATACTCATGGGTAGTGATAGATTCCAATAAGATGAAGCACTGGAGTCTAAACATCAGATAGATTAGTTCTTCTAGGTTAAGGCCAGCTAAAGGCGACCTAATAGGGAAACCTACAGGCACTCGGGGAATACAGAAACATAAAAGGGACCAAACGACGTTACGCTTCAGATTTGGTGTTGGCATTTGACGTGTTCACATGTTGTATGCTGGCTCTGTATCTCCTGGGCTGGGCTTTTAAACCATGCTATATTAAGTCTCCATCAGTCTCTGAAACCTCTTCACACCTGAACCTGGCTCACAATAATTCATCAACACAGGTGAACGTTCAAAGAAGAGTTGTGGATCATGTATTATGTTATTTGGTGTAATTTTCTATTCCAGTAGCCTATGCCATCATCACCGCTCTGATCTCTGTGGGCGTAGCCTAAAACAACTTATAGAGCATAAAGTCAGCCATTGCTCTTTACAGCAGGACACAGCAGATCAAATTGTGACCACACGGTCCACTGAAGACCATGTTGGTATTTTACTGTTTCCCATCACAACTAAGCTGCCATTTAACACAGACGTGTTTACAAGGTGATGTTACTAGCCTCAGCCAAGATTTGGTTACAACACTAGACTAATGCTAGAAAGAAAAAGATAGAAAGCAATGAATTGACAGTGACTATTGATTATTAAAATGTTGATTAACGGGGCCAACTGGGCAATAAGTAAATATGAAGAATCGCATATTCAGTCAAGTCATAGTATGAATAGTATTTTACCTTTGAGAATGAATTAAAGTTAACCTGGGGGCACCAGTTTGAATGGGCCAGACGGAGCTGATCACATTAACATCAGCCAGTGCGAGCACAGCAAGAGATGTACAGCCAGCATCAGATACAAGCACCTCAGACTCTAATGGAATTGTTGCTGCTCCACCAAATTGAGGTCCATTCAGACCAGCTTTCGAGGAGGTTTTCTTTCAGGCTTATTACATATAGACTTAAAAGAGTGAGGATTGTAGTGAGAGCACTACGGTGTCAGGTGTGACTGTACAGTAGTAGCAAATTGTTTACATGGCTCAGAGTCAGGTAGGAGGGCCCCAGGGAAGTCAGGGCCAGCTCTGCTTGTAAAGTCACTTTAACTAGACATTTCAGTTGTCATATAAGCGTCTGGTAATCAATGTACTGTAGCTGAGATATCAGTGAATTCAAGCTCAAAGTTTTGGATGCGATACGCAACGATTGCGGCTCGGCCAACTCCAGTTACCTGTATCATGTCAGCAGCCCAGCTGACTCCTGGACCTGCTGTTGAGCCACAGCAGCTGATCAACTCCGCTCTACTGCAGCTACCCCTGAACTCTGCTCTGGTTGTGCCTTTTTTACGTCAGTCCCTTTAACCTGTTGAACTATAGCTGCCCCCTGGTCTTGCTGGGTGGCATCCATCCACCTCCGTTGTCCCCTTTTATGCTGCAGCTCCACTCCAACTTTGCCCTGCCACTGAAACCCCCCCCGAGTCTGCTGAACCGCTGCTTCCCCCCATATTCTGCTGAACAGGAGCTAGCTTTGGTTTCGCCTGAGCCTCCTGTCCTGTCGCCAGTCCTCAGCCCAGCAGCCTTTGTTTCAGTTCAACCTTCATGTCGTCCCCAGAACTGTTAAGTCTCCCCTCCCAGCCCTCAGGCTGTTCGCCTGAGTCTCCCCGTCTGGCCCCATTACCTGCTACAGATCACCCACCAGGGGTCCCTGGTCTGGCCCTTTGGTCATGAACTTAAAGACCCTGTATCTGTTTTGCTGCTCTGTGTTCTCTCATTATTTTTTTGCTTGTATGCTTGCTGCCTTAGTTTGGATAACTACCTGTGTTGGACTCAAGCCGTCCCTTCTGCATGCAAGCCTGATTACCTGTTTGACGTTTAATAAACCCTGCAAACTTCCCAGCTACTCTCCTTGTCTTGCACTTGGGCCCTAAACTCTGTTTACCTGCCTCTGCACTTGATGTTGTGACAAGTTCATTATAACAGTGATATAGAATGATGCAACTTGGGAAACAACAAATCAGGAGGTGGAACATCACACAGATTCATGCTTTTAGGCCTTTTAATTGGACATATGAGATGGGAATGCCCTTCCTCCTCACAGTTGCATCCACATAATCCTGTATAACACACTGCTTGTAGGACCTTGAGTGCATCTTTCTATCTGGTGCGTCTTGTTGTCGAGTAGATGTTGGAATTTATGGTTGACCATGAGCAATAATGTCTTCAGAGAATTAACCTATCTTACCCCAAACCATGCATTAACGTAGATTGGAATCACAGCTTTTTCCTTTTGGAGTGGGAGTTACATTGAGATAGAAAACAACTACATCTGCAACATTCTTGCATCACAGTGCAGTGAAATCCTTATATACTGTCCATCATATCTATTTCTTATAGTCTGGATACAGTAAATTTGGTGAGCCTGGAAGAAGTTTGGAAAATTTTCTACCTTTGCAACATGAATCGTGGAGGTGAATTATACAAATTCAGAAATGTAAACATGTCTGTTGAAAGATGTCATGCATGCTGCGTGCATTTCTCTTCTTAAAGCAGGATGACAGGAGTAACATGGTGACAACAGGTTGATTGGTTGAGGACAAGATATAGTCAAACATATGCAGAACTGATCCCAGGATTTTGAAATCCTAATAAGTAAAATCAGAGAAGAGCTGGAGACAGAGCACAGTGGGACAGTAAAACAGAATATATTCTACTTTTTGCAGGAAATGTGGTCTATCTGGGCAACGTGTGGAGATTCCCTTCCCCCTCCACAGTGGAGGTACAAATACAAATTCTGAATTTAGTAACAAACTAATTACACTGAATTAACTTGTCACTGGGCATACATGCAGCATATCTCTATTTACATATCCTTGGTGCCTTACTGGTGCCATATGTTAGCTTTGCTGTGGTGTGGTGTCCGAACAATAATGCTGCGATGATGTGTTGAGAAGAAACCCGCTTGACCCTGTTCTTGATCGTAACAGTTTATTACATCAAGGAGTTCAGCATCAATTACAAGCTCTGCAGCAGCTTGGAGAGTGACCCAGCCCGATGGCCACTCTGTCTCTCTGTACATCAAACAAAGCTTATATAGGGCATGTTTAGGTATCTGTTAGATAGCATATAAGGGTCTGAGTCTGCAAACTAAGGCACCAATCCATATAAGGGCACAGTTCTATAGGATAAGTGTAGACATCTGTTAGACACCATATAAGGGTCTGAGTCTCCACCTAACCACTGACCTCTACTCTCCCCTTAAAAGGTCACTAATCCTCTATCCAGCTGCTACAGTGCTATGTTAAACTGTTATGCGTCAAATGCACATATGTTATACACCACAGTGGCATGTGGGATACCTCTGTTCCTCTGTTTTCAGCTCAGCCTCTGACTGAACTCCGAACTCACCAGGAGGCCTGCCTGTTGTTTTTTTTGTTATTTCCCTCTTGTATCTCTATTTTATCCTCTCTCCTATATTTATATGAAGCAGATTCATAAAAGAAAATACATTGTCCAGCTGTACAATAGCACAGTGGATTATTCTTTCACTGAAGCGCTTGATCGTATGATGAGAAATAAGAGAAGAAAATCAGACAAGAGTTAAGAGGAAAGGTTTTGTACTTTCACCATAACGCTGGATTACAACAAAATGGCTCTTAAAGAGCTCCTCTGGGTTTTGCAAATCAAAAGTCCACCATTTGACCTAAACACTAGAATGACAGTTTTTATATTTAAAATGATTCAGGATCAGTCTCTTTAAGAAGTCCTGGCTCTTGTAAAACAGGAAGGTAGGCCTCTCCACACTGGAACTGGGTTTGTTTTATGGATTGATGGCAGAATATATTCAAATTAGGAAAAGTAGTAGTACTTTTAAAATATAACTGAAACCGCAAGTTCTTGATGTTGAGATGAACAGAAGAAAAACAGAAAATGAGAAGAGGGCTGGAGAGAGAGGACAGTGGGCCAGTAAAACAGAATATATTCTGGTTGTTGCGGGAAATGTGTTTGGCCTGGGCAACGTGTGGAGATTTCCTTACCTCTGCTACAAGGACAGTGGAGATGAATCCTACAGACTGTTTTTATAGAGTTCCATTATTCTGGCTGTAGTGAACTTAAATAATGTTAATATTGATGATTGGTGCAGTGAAAAGATATTACTTCATTCATTTGTAATTTCCATGTCCATACATGTCTCTTTATTTAAAATATATGTGCCTTTCTGGTGCCATATGGTCTAGGTTAGTTGTAGTATGTGGAATACCTCAGTTGGTCAGTACACCCAGGAAGGATCCATCACCAGTTGGAGGAAGTTGTGTCCACTGGCACAAGATAGGGCATCTTCTGTTTAACATCTACATGATTATGAAAAACAACAAAATATGTTACCATAATTATGCAGATGACACACAAATTTACATAACCATATCACCAGGGGACTATGATCACATACAAGCGCTGAGTAACTGTGTTGAACAAATTAACAATTGGATGTGCCAGAATTTTGATAAAACTGAATATAACTGATAAAACTGAAGTCTGAAGTCTCTGTTTTTGGAGCCAAGGAAGAACGATTAAAAGTCAGTGCTCAGCTTCAATCTGTAATGTTAAAAACCACAAACCAAGCCATAAATCTTGGTGTAGTCATGGACCTGAATTTAAGGAGCCACATTAAGACAATTACACAGTCAGCTTACTATCATCTGAAGAATATTTCTAGGATTAAAGGACTTATGTCTCAGCAGGACTTGGAAAAACTCATGCATTTTTTTTTTTTTTTTTTACAGGGCTCCCTAAAAAAATCGATCAGACAGCTGCAGCTGATTAAGAACACTGCTGCTCGAGTCCTCATGAAGACCAAAAAAGTGGATCACATCACTCCAGTTCTGAGGTCTTCACACTGGCTTCCTGTCATGAAGCTCTCTGACTCATGTTGTAGTTTTGCCGTTTATTAACAGTAGTAGACATAACTAACTAGCATGCTGTAGCTGCTAAAAACATACAACGAACTACCAACGTTACCCAGAAGCCCCTTGCTTCACTTCCAACACAAATACTGCTCACACTCTGCAGCGACCTGTATTGTTCAGTGTAGATAGAGCTACATCTAAATCACATCACACTTCCTGTCTGTCAGAGATTTGATTTGATTTCAATGTCCTGCTGTTGGTTTATAAAGCACTGAATGGTTTAGGGCCAAAATACATAAATACATTTCTGATCTTCTGCTTCGTTATGAACCATCCAGACCTCTCAGGTCGTCTGCAGCAGGTCTGCTTTCTGTCCCCAGAGTCAAAACTAAACATGGAGAAACAGCAGCGTTTAGTTGGAGTTTATGCTCCGTATATCTGGAACAAACTCCCAGAAAACTGCAGGTCTGCCAAAACTCTCAGTTCTTTCAAATCAGGACTGAAGACTTTTCTTTTTACACTTAATTAGATCAAATTTAAAGCTGTAGATTGATAACTTACACTGAAAACACCTGTTTTGTTTTTAGATTTTCAGTGATCACTATTTAAAAAGCTTAGAGTGCTCTTTTGATTGCACCATCTCACATGGCTGATTCTCAGTCAACAGGGCCGAGTAGAATTACAAGGGAGAGGAGGGAACAACTATTGAACTGACAACATTTGCAGTGACAACTTAGTGTGGCCTGCAAAGTCAAGTTAACTAAACATTTCATCTATCACACTGTATATACACTTACTACAATCAGTGCAGCTAAAATATTTAAATGGCTAAGCTGAAAATAGTGCTCAACCAGCCCAAATAAACTTAAACAACGAAACATTTGTCAATTGTTTTGTGGCTTTTTTGTTTGGTTTGATGTTATCTGTAAATTTGGACAAACAAAACAATACAAGGGAGTAATATTGAGCTCTAGAAAGTTGTGACAGGTATTTCTCAGTATATTTTGACATCTTGAGTAGATAAAAAATCTGAATTTTTAACACTTTGACCAGTTATATGTACACCATCCATCGTCAACCGCTTATCCTGTGTACAGGGTCGCGGGGAGCTGGACAGCCTGGACAGGTTGCCAGTCCATCGCAGGGCCGGTATATGTACACATACAGGAGATTTGACTCTGGTCTTACAGTACATTGCTCTCAGCGTACATACACAGAACAAGCATAAACAAAAAGAACTCTGTGTACCACCAGCCTCCAGAAGTGAATATACTACGTGTGGAGTGTCTGTATTTATAAAAATCACTTGTCTCTCCAGTAAATCATTCATGATAGTGCTCACTTGACAGAACAGTACATCATTTCATTTCAACATTGCACTCCAGTGACTGTTGGACTCACGCACTTTTCTTCCTTGTACGGTGCCTAGTTTACCCACAATGCAACTATACGCTGACAGTTGATTTGGACATTTGGGTGTGTTTGTGGCTAATGTAGCTTTGAGCTGCTAGCCTCAAACACAGACGAGCTGCGAGCTACAGAGGACTGGTAACCTCACTTCTTTCAAACTCTACACCCCCAGATTATTTTTCCGTTGTCTAACTTGAAGTCTTCATCTCCAATGATTATTTAGCACAGCTCTCTCTGGAGCCACAACAGGTGCTGTACAACTTTGTTCACATGTGCAGTAGTGTAGTTTGGATAACACCTGCAATCATACTTCGATGCGTAAAATAAGAGCAATTCTATCTTGCCATTTAAACATCATTATCAGAGATGTGTTTGCTCATTCATGTTTACTCTGTTGACTTATCCTCGTAGAGTGGTTGGTTAGGTCACGTGGAAGACCAAGCATGATTTATAGTCTGAAGTATGTATCAAGGTAAGCTTCCATAATCACTTCGCAGTTGAGTGGGATTATGTTTGTAGACAATGTTAGTTTCTATTTACCACTCCATGCCATGTCTGCCATGGATCTACTGGGGACACAATGCTGGTTCTGATGTTGGCTCACCAACAGGTCAACATGTAATCTCCCAAAAACTGTTAAAAAAACGTCAAGTTAAGAAAACCGCTTTAGCACTGTTAGTGGGGATTTAGGTCCATGCACATATATAGTATTTAATGGTGGACTGCACCATCTGTCTCTCACCCAATTTCTTTGAGGTGCTCAGTGGGTGTCCTGCAGTTGTAACTATGGTGTCCAAAATGCCCCTTGTAAGTGCCATAATGTTGTGTGTAAACAGTAGGTTACTGCTAAAGATCTTGCGTAGCAAAGAGGAAAACTAAAATGTAAATGCTCTGTATTTGTATAGCGCCTTTCTAGTCTTTTCGACCACTCAAAGCGCTTTTACACTACATCTGCATTCACCATTCACACACATCCATACACTGGCGGAACAGCCGCCACACTTCGACATGCAGCCTGGAGGAGCTGGGGATCGAACTGCCGACCTTCCGATTAACGGGCAACCCGCTATATCTCCTGATCTATCTCCTCCCCTAAAAGAGGAGGGAACTGTTAAACTGAGGGAGTCTGCAGTGACAGCTTAACATGACTTGTGAAGCCACATTAACTAGACCTTTCAGCTGTCATAAGCTTCTGGTAATCAATGTAGTGTAGCTGAAATATCAGTGATAAGAAGCTCAAATTATTGATTAAATAATCAATTTCAAAAATTAGATCATTTTTAAATGATCTATTAACATGCTGCGCTCATACAAGTTTTTGGATGATACACTGGCCTAGGGTGGTAAATTCTCATTAAAGCACTTCAAAGTACTCACTTTAATATTCCACATTTTAGGCTTCAGACAAATTGATTCAGAGCAGATAAGTGGTAGGCAGGAAGTGGCAGTGTCCAGGACTGCAAATGTTATTTTTACAAATGATTCAATCACAATAAAAATTTTAAATGCCATTTTGATGCACCCGTTGTATGCAAATGAAAACAAAAAAGTTAACAGCATCCCTACCTGTGATGCCAATTTTGCGCTACACCAAAGACCACCGTCACCTTTGTAACAGTGAATTAGATTCTGTGCAGCAGAAACCTGTCAACCTCTTATATGCATCATTTTCAACTCATGCATGCATCTACTGTGAGGGAAAACACACGTTTAATTTCAGTTTTTAATATTTATTGAGTACTACAGCTGCCAATGTTAAAGGTGAAAAGTAAAACGTTTGTCATCCTGAAGTGGACGCGTCCATGTACTTGAAGTCCATTTGAGAAGTGAGTTGCATTCCTCAGTTTTACAAGATCATTACAGAACGTGCGCAAGCAGTGCGTGTTGTTCCTCAGTGCCAATGAAAGTGTCTAACGTTGTTCTCCATTATTTCTTTTGGAAAAATCCCATAATGGAAGCTTGTTTATTTCCTTTATTTGCGTTTGCAGATGTTTTCTTCTGACTTCTCTTCTGGTCTTCTTTGTGACTTGCTGGTAGTTTTGCGGGGATGGGATCTTTTTGGGCTTGTTTGGTGGCCTGAAAATCATCTTCTGTTTCAGAGTACGATTCACTCTCGTAGACTTTCTCTGTCACTGAGGGTGAGATGATAAAGCAGAGTGAAAAAGGTCTTAAAAGTGTTTGGTCAAATCCCATTTCTATGCATGCATGAGAAGGACACTTAAATACAATGCAATAAAGCAAGCACTTAATATTTACTCAATTTACATAGGTGATAATCAAGTAATCGCTAATGACAATTGTTAGTGAAATTAAACAAACACTCCTCTTATTCAATGTCAACAAAAACTTTTAAACATTTATAAAAAGTTATATATACCCAATTATTGGAGATAGATATATAGATTATATATATATATATATATATACTGTTATACTTGTGTAAGTTATGAAAGATAGAAGTTGTGTTTTTGTGGAAAATGAATTAGATGCAGTGTTGGGGGTAACGCGTTACAAAGTAATGTGTTACTACTATCAGATTACTTTTGTCTGTAGCGCAGTAATGCAACGCATTACTGTTGATAACTTCAGTAGTCACATTACAGTTACTAATAACAAAATCGTCGCGTTACTTACGTACTGGTTCTTCAACTATCAGCATAACGGGAGGAGAGAAAAATAAATCAAACATATTTTTTCGTGTGTGTTTGCGTAACACTTTTCCGACCTCACTTTTGACTTTAACGCCAGTTCATGAGGAAGCAGAAATGGCAGAGCTTCTAAAAACGTATTTCGAGGGGTTTAAGTACTAGTATTCTCTAGCACGCCTGTGGCGAGGCTCTCAGGCCTGGGCTGTGCTGACTCCAAGGAGGAACAGGTTGTCTGACAAACGATTCGCTCCTGCTCATCAAGTATAGCCACTTCTTTCATAAGCATGTCCAGTAAGAGGGAAAAATCTACTTTAAAGCCATAGTTCAGCAAGTGAGCTACAGTAAGTTTGTTGTGAGGGTTTGGCCTGTTAAATGCACAGTTCAAATTAAATTACATAAGATTTTCCTTTGAAGTCTGATATTGTGATGAGGGCCAGCGTCTTATTTTTTTATTGATAGAAAAAATTACATGGTTGGAAGGACAACCTTTTTATTTATGTTGTATTGTAATGAAATACATTATTTAAAATATAAATGTTTCCAATTAAATGCCTATTAATGTTTTAAGCATTATAATACTGTACTGTAGCCTTGTTCTTCTCTTGACAAATGTTGGGCTGACGTTCACAACTTTGTTGTCAGCTAAGAGAGATCATGTGGATGTTCTCATTAAAATAAGCATTAGTGTTTATCTGGGCATATATGAGGAGTAACATGTTATTTGCAGTTATTGTGCATCGCAGGTGATGTTTCGCAGTAATCCAAAAGTAATGTAACTAGTAGAGTAACTAGTTACTTTCAGCAGTGAGTAATCTAGTAAAGTAAGGCATTACTTTAAAAAAAAGTAACTAGTAATGTGTAATCCATTACCATTTTTTTGAGTAACTACCCCAACACTGATTACATGTAGTATAAATTTAACAATAAGTTTATAAATAATGAAATCTAGCCAGAGGACACGTAGTAAATCATCTGTCTGCTTTTCATACCCATGCATCCTTCCTCATCTAAGAAGTTACGGGATTTCAGGACTCGTCTCCTCTTCCTCGTCTTCGTTTCAGAGTGCCCCAGCTGTAGAATGAAATCACACACATAAAGAGCATTTCATCAGTGACTATTAATGGAATAAATACATTTTATATTTTCCACACTTTTAGTTCTTACATCAGCGCTACGATATCTTAATAACACTTACATGTGAATGTGAAACAGACTTGATCTCCTTCTTAGGACTTGGTGATGGCTCTCTTGTTTCCATTTGCTGTGGAGAATCTGGAATGACTGAAGAGGTCATCAAATATTAGTCTTTTATATTTTTTGGCTTTACAATATAAATTAACTCAGACGTATTTCTCTGAACTATAGCCAACTCTATATTCTGATGCACTACTACATGAAATGTGAACTAATAAAGATATATTTATTATTTCAGTCAACTATCAAAATATTTTTTCATGCATTCTCAGGGCTATTTCTTTTTTTACTGAAATTGAAAATACTTGTTTGATTAATCACAGAACAAAGCTCACCATCGTCATCGCTGCTGTCTGGTTCAGGCTTCCTAATCCTTCGGCGCTTTTTCTTCTCCATTTTCTCCTCCTCGCTGTCAGAATCCTCTATTCGCTTGCTTTTGCTTCAATAAGAGAAATTTAATTTATTTGAATATTGAAATTTTATTGAATTTATAGCCATATTTGACTTTGGTGAATCCATCATCACTTTCATGAACCGCTCATTAAATTCAAGACTTTTGTAGCCAAGAAATGTAAAAGGCAGACATTGTCTGTTTTTATTTAAAATTTTCAGCATGAGTCAATCATTTATTTTCATTAATTCACACTCAAAGTTGACACCTTTTCCCAACGCTATTCTGACACACACACACACACACACACACACACACACACACACACACCTCCTGGAGTCTTTATTAGTGTCTTTGGGCGGCTCCACTGCAGCAGCTTCTTTTTTGTCTTCAGGCTGTGAACTCTGACGGTGCTGCTCTGCTGGCTTTAATGACTGAGCTGCTTCCTCCTCCTTCACAGTTTTGTCTGGTTTCTCTGAAGAAGAAAAGGGAGTGTTTAGTTGGAAAAGTTAGTGATTAAATAAAGTCAGCATATATGTAACCCCAGTGATAATAGTAATAACACAGTAATAACTCCCCCAAAAGATTCTGAGCATTAAACAGTTTAAAAGTGGAAAATATAGGTACCGGTACTAATGGTGCTTTCAGAAAAATTCAAGTTTAATCCTTGCGACGCTTTCCTCGCATGAGTGCATTCGCTGCAAGTGTTCATACACAATGCGAGAAGTTGATTAGAACCCGCGAACATTTGCTCAAGTTGGAAATTTTCAACTCACGTGAAGGCCTTCGGCACCGCCCCATTGGCGTCGCTTTGCGCCGCCCGACAGGAATAGCGGCTCTACGCGTCTTTGCATTGACTTTGTATGTAAACTCACCGCTTCTGAACGCTCGCTTCGCTTTTGGTCTGAAAGCACAGTTAGTGCTGGGCAATACGGCCGGAAATGTTATCACGATAAAACATTTCACATCATTCAATATCGATTATTCTTATGATAAATGTCAAATCATTATAAGGCAGATTTTTGCTCCTGAGTGAAAGTTGAAGAAACCAGATGGTTAATTGTGGTTTTAAACTATTTTTTAAAGGTCAGAACAAAAACTTTATGCCAAACAGTGGATCCAGTGTTTCCCATATGTTCATTGATGTTGTGGCGCCACAATATCAACGCTGACTGCCACATAATGATTTCCGATTTAAAATTTTTTTTACTAGGCCTATTTAAAATCGTATTATTGCAGAGCGCCGTAGCGCATTCACGCAGCACATCCTGTCGTTTGTCCCTCTCTCTCTCCCCCCCTCATGAACACCACTACACAAATCTGTCCAACACAACGCTGTTGGACACCAAGCTTAAAAAAAAAAAATAAAAAAAGTTATTAGCAAGCACGTAAGGAGCCTAGCTAATAAGAAGAGCCAAGCTAACGAATAGAGCTGGGTTGTCGAGGTTAGCACATTGTTTTTAGCTTGTGCCACAGTTACACTGTCATTCTGTGGGAAACACTGGGATCACTTAACAAATCGTGGTAAAACATTCAAAACAATTATAATTAAGTAAATTTAACTTAAGATTTTTTTCAGTCCCTTTTCCTTTCTAAAATGGCCTTGTTATGTTGGCAAAGGTCCAGACGACCCAATCCAGTAAACTATTTAGTCCAAAACACATTATTATATCAATATATAGACACGGACTGCTTTATATTAGCCTAACTACAGCTAGCATGTAAACAAAAAACACGTCTACACGTTGACTTTTTGAATGACACCTTAACTGACCCAATAGAAACTTCCATGCCCTGTCCATGGCCTACAATACCCAATGAGTGTCCTCGTCGCCAGGAAGTGCGAGTCCCCTTTCTTTCGGTATACACCGACACCGAGCCACCACTTTCCACAGACATATTTATATATTGTCGAATACAAAAACACCTCGCGCCGGAGAACTTTAAGCCCTGCCTTATATTATTACTTCTGTGTCTTTCCAAAATTCCTTGTTTGCCTGAATTTGACTGCATGCAAAACACCCCTGACAATTATTAATGCATTCTCTGTCTTTACAGGGTTAATCGTGGGGTCTACCTGAAGCTGAGGTCGCTACCTCAGCTTCATAATAGAGACCGTTTCAAGATAAATAGCTTATTGAGTGACAAGAAGTAAGGCGGAGCAGGATGGTAAACACAATAAACACAAAAGGCTCATGAATCTGAAGTCTTAATTAGGGCTTAATTAGACCCGAATATTCGACCGTTGGGTACACATTCGATTTTCAATTATGAGATTGAGGGTTTTTTTTGTGCGCCTGACCTCCGACGACAGCAGTGAATGTAACACTCCAGTTCACATCAAAGGAAAAACGACATGAAGCCCTCAGCTGTGTCGGAGCACTTTAAACTGCGTGATGACTGCAGTAGTGTGGAAGTTATGGCATTTATTAATTTTACAATTGCTAAATTCATTACAGATCAAAACCTATTTTAAAATTGATCAGTAAACTGTAGGCTGGAAACAAAACAAACAACAACATAATGAACGCATTTAAATAAGCCTAGTTACAGTGGGGGAAAAAAGTATTTGACCCCTTGCTGATTTTGCAGGTTTGCCCACTTACAAAGAATGCAACAATCTACAATTTTAATCATATGTACATTCTAACAGTGAAAGACAGAATCCCAAAGAAAATTCCAGAAAATCACATCATATGAATTTATAAAAATTGATAACCATCTGATGAGGAAAAACAAGTATTTGACCCCCTACCAAACAGCAAGTATTCTGGCTCCTACAAGCCAGTTAGTCTTTCTTTAAGACACAGCCCCAATCCCAACCAATTATCTACATCAAATACACCTGCCTCACCTCGTTACCTGTATAAAAGACACCTGTCAACACCCAAACAACCAGCATCCAACATCAGCACCATGGGCAAGACCAAAGAGCTTTCTACGGACATCAGGGACAAGATTGTTGATCTGCACAAGGCTGGGATGGGCTACAAGAGAATCGGAAAGCAACTTGGAGAGAAAAGATCAACTGTCGGTGCAGTTATCAGGAAATGGAAGAAGCACCACACCACCGCCAACCTCCCTCGGTCTGGGCCTCCACACAAGATCTCGCCTCGTGGGGTGTCCCTGATCATGCGAACGGTGAGGAATCATCCCAAAACCACAAGGGGGGAACTGATGAATCAACTGAAGGCAGCTGGGACCACAGTTACAAAAGAAACGGTTGGTAACACACTACGCCGTCATGGATTGAAATCCTGCAGCGCACGCAAGGTCCCCCTGCTCAAGAAGAAACATGTACAGGCCCGCATGAAGTTCACCATTCACCACCTGGACGACTCAGAAGAGGCCTGGAAGAAGGTGATGTGGTCAGATGAGACCAAAATAGAACTTTTTGGCCTCAACTCAACTCGTCGTGTTTGGAGGGCAAAGAACACCGAGTACAACCCAAAGAACACCATCCCCACCGTCAAGCATGGTGGTGGCAACATCATGCTTTGGGGGTGCTTTTCAGCCAAGGGGACGGGACAACTCCATCGTATTGAGGGGAGGATGGACGGGGCCATGTATCGTGGAATTCTGGACCAACATCTCCTTCCCTCAGTGAGAGAGCTGAAGATGGGTCGAGGATGGGTGTTTCAGCACGACAACGACCCTAAGCACACCGCCAAAGTAACAAAAGAGTGGCTGAAGAAGAAGCACATCAAGGTTCTGGAGTGGCCTAGCCAGTCTCCAGACCTGAATGCAATTGAAAATCTTTGGAGGGAGCTTAAAATTCGAGTTGCCAGGCGACAACCTCGGAACCTGAATGATTTGGAGGCTGTCTGCAGGGAGGAGTGGGCCAACATCCCTGCCGAAATGTGCACAAACCTTGTCAACAACTATAAAAACCGTTTGACATCTGTGCTGGCCAATAATGGCTTTTCTACAAAATATTAACATGCTGTTTGTCCAGGGGGTCAAATACTTGTTTTTCCTCATCAGATGGTTATCAATTTTAATAAATTCATATGATGTGATTTTCTGGAATTTTCTTTGGGATTCTGTCTTTCACTGTTAGAATGTACATATGATTAAAATTATAGATCGTTGCATTCTTTGTAAGTGGGCAAACCTGCAAAATCAGCAAGGGGTCAAATACTTTTTTCCCCCACTGTATATTAGGCCGATTGTAGAAGAAAATCATTTAGTCGCTATAATAAAGTCGCTATTATAAAGTTAAAAGAGAATTTTGCATAATAACATGTTAGATTTAGTTCCGCTACCAAAAATACGCTCATCCCGTGCGCTCTCCGCCTGGACTCCTGCCCGGTGAAACTATTTCCGGATTCTGCTCTGGACCTGCTCGGATCAGACTCTCTCACTCTGGACTCTCAGCTACGGTTCCCCCTGCTCTGCACAGCAGCCACCAACCCGGTTCGGCACACATCTATTTTCACTCTGCCTCGCTCTTCTGCTGCTCAATATCGGATCCCTTTAACCTGCAATAATTATTTCTCCCTTTCTTAGTCCTGTACCTGTGTCTGCTAGCCCTGCTATAAAAGAAAGTTAAACAAAAACAGAGTTAAAAACTAAGATTTGGTAGTGAGAATAATAAAAGCTTCAATTATTCGCATCCAAGCTTAAAAAGAAAAAGCCAGCCCTAGTTTTAAAGTCATGTGTCCAACGCCACAAAAGCACATTTAATGTCTCTAAATGGCAAAAGTGCAAGACCCTACACTAGGACTGATATTGTTGCTAGTTAGACTGGCCAGTGCTTTTAACTGCCCCTTAAAGGACAAATTTAAGTATTTTGATTTTAATTGAATCCACCAACTGATATGTCATTTTAAAAGTAGCTGTAATAGCTACCGACTATTTCTTAGAGTAATTCTACCGTCGTAATAATTAGCACTACGATTTCATTGTTAAGTAGGGGTGGGGGGAAAAAAATAAAAAAAATATTTGATACAGCATAGTATCGTGATATTTGCCATGGCAATACTGTATCGATACACGGACGCCAAGTATCGATATTTTATTATAAATTGCAGATGGGAGTTTTAACTTTTTGGTACTAGAATAATAAAATCTATTGCTTTTTTAGTCCACTAGAAAACTTAACAGGACCATATAGAGGACTGAAAAAGTGATGTGAACAAACAGAAATGTCTCTTTTTAGATAAACAGATGTTGACAAAGTTTGACTTTTGGGACCTACTTGGAAGTTGGAAAAAGGTAATAAATTTCAATATATATCAATACATTTAAAAATCGCAATAAAATCGAATCGCAACATAAATGTCGTGATAATATCGTATCGTGGGGCCTCTGGTGATTCCCACCCGTACTGTTAAGCAGCAGATTTGTCTCGTCATCAGAACAAAAAGGACTCTGTGGCAGCAGAAATTAAAGCCTGTCACTTAATACACGCAAAGGGATCACTGTTTTATAGAAAAATACACAGCTAAACAACAAAAAGCACAGAGACTTGTGGCAAATCACTGTTAGTGTCACTCACTTGCTGCTTGACTCCCAAAGAAGTTAATCACTGAATTGGCCTTTGCCGCTGGTTTACTTTTGGCGGCGTTGACCTAAAATATCAAAGACAGTGGTAAAAAACTACAGAAATGACTCTGCTACTGTAGTTAATCACACCACACACTACAAAGCCATACCACAGGCACGTCCTCCTTCTGCTCTGACTTAATGTCTTTGCCACTGTCCTGGTTCTTAGGAGCAGTCTTATTTGCTAACATTCCCATGATGCCTTTCTGCGGCTTGGTGGAAGGTTTTGAAGCCAAATTAGCTTCTCCATTCATCCCAGACTTTTTGTGTTCAGGCTCTGGTGTAGGAGCACAATGGACTTCACTTATTTTCTGCAGCTCCAGAGAAGACATGGGCACTGCGCTGGCACAGCGGATCGCACTGTATCTGCAAACGGAGTAGAAGGAACAATTTAAGCACTCTCCTGAAGACTGAGAGTCCTATAAAAACCCTTCTAAACACCCTGTAGCTACCACTACCCCCAGCTAAAAAAAGTAATCTCAGCAGGGTAACTGTAATTTGAAATAAAGTAGCTTTTCCTCACCTGTGTAATGGCATTATTTACTATCCACTTAAAAGCACAAACAAATGTGGTCAACATACTTGCTGCAGTTCTTCAGATTGTCTTTCACAGCATCATAGTCAACGCTGTACAGGGGGCCGCTGTCTTTCAGTGATGCTTTCTGGACACTGTAGACATGGACACTGACTACCAAGCTCATCTTGGATTTGAAATCTGCAAAAGAAAACACCTGAGGTTGCCTCTTCTACAAGAGATATATTGCTAAAAACAGACAAACAGAATTTACACACCTTCCAACTTGTCCTCCTTGACAATGGACACCTTGTGACTCTGAAAAGAAGCACAACATGAGTAACACAATATACGTGTACAGAAACTCGCGGACCACGCCGCAACAGGTCTCAGTTTAACTGACCGTGTTTCTCACCGTTTGGCCATTGTCCACAGACTTCCCCGACACGAGATAGGTGGCATGGAGCTGAGCTGAACCTTCCTGCCTCTTGTGATCCAAGTAATGGTAAAGCATTCTGAAAACAAGACAGACCATTTCATTAACTCTGACATCATACTATGTTCCCAAAGAATTGATATTGATATACTGACTACTGCATAACCTTCTCTACACTTATCCTTGAGCTCTGCATAAAGTCATGCGTCACTTACAACACATCAGCAAATACTGTTTGATCACATAAAAAAAAGGTGCATCTGGTTTTGCCTCAGACAGATCTACATCCGTCTGAACTGGGTATTGTCCTTCAATATTTTTGGTGTACTGATAAAAATCTCTTAATAAAAATTTCAATAATTTCAGCCCATTTCTTACCATATCAGCTACATTGTGTTAAGACAAAATTAAACACTGGTGTTGAACTTGAAGGCTCTTTCCTGACCTTGGAAACAGTCATCATGATTGTGATTCCAGTCAGTATAAACAGGACCACCTGGCTCTGAAAATCTTTGGCTTCTTCCCATTTCTGCATTGTTTTAAGCCAACTAAGTGAAAAGAAGGAGCAACACTCACTGCTTAGCGGTGTTTACATGGACCCCGAGAGTGAGACTCAGCCATTTATAGGTCACCTGGTCAACAGAAAACAGACGAAAACATTTGTGTTTGGAGTCAGATTTTGCTTGGCTTCATGGGTGGGGAATCTGGGAGAAAAAGGCTTAAGTATTGAGCTTTATCGTCTACAACTGGAACGTTAATTTATCTATAACGTTTAGCTGAAGTTACAGTAACGTAATAGCTTGAACCTAGCTAGCTAACCTGTCATACTTTGTAACGTTAGCCTTTTAGTTTCCATCATTAAACTCGCTAAAGATAGATATGCAACGCCTCATGTAGTTTAGCTAAGAAAATGTCAATCTTTGAGTCTTATTCGACATTTGATAATCAAAGACAAACAAACAACCGTTGGCGGTTAACGTTACCAGCAAACTGGAGCTAGTCAATTTATTTATTTACACAAATTATATACGTTTTTGATGAATTTAAGTGTTGTGTTCTAGATCATTCATACGCCGAATTAACCAAAAACCCCACAACAAATTGTAAATAGTCATAGGTCATACCATGATCAAAATATATATTGCCCTGAAAGAAAACAAACCATAAACATGTCTTTTTTGGACGCAATTCACCGGCTACTTATGTCAGGGCTAACTCGGGTCTAACGTCAGTAGCGTTACGTTAAATTGGCCCCAAGAATAACATTCATAAAAGAGGACATATCACGAATCAGGATTTTCACTTACTATCTTGTTGTGGTCGTTGACAAATTCGTCGATGTTATCCAAGTAAAGCTCGTCCATTTTATTAGATATTCCGTGAATGTGTACGTCTTGTTGAACCGATTTGACTGCGCGGGAAGGCACTTTATTTACTTCCTGTTAAATGTCACGTGTGCCTCCTTTTCTTTCCGGTGGGATGAGAGGCTGCAGGCTGCAGGCTGCCCTCTACATGTCTACACGGGCGACACACTCAAAATAAACTCAAAGAATACGGCTGGTGATGGAGCGTTTTACTAATTTGCTCAAGTACTGTATTTAGGTTTAAAATTAAGTTAACTTGAGTATATCTGTCTTGGCAGACCTTCTGCTTTACCACTGCTTATTGCCAAGAACTATTGCACTTTTTACTGTATTGCAGATTAAGATAGTAGTCTAAAGAGAAAAACGAATGCTAATGCTGTTGACAGTGACACAATGCATTTCAGATAAGGCTTATATATGTATCTTGACAGTTTTAGAGAATTCACTCAATGCTCTCTCTCTGTCTCTTAATTCAATTCAAGAAAGCTTATTGGCACGGACATTATGACAACATTATTGCCAAAGCCGCATACATCCACACATAAAAGCAGAGTGATAATGTTAACATAACAGAAGTGAAATTAAATAAGTTGGTGTCTTCACCGGCTGTCCCTCAGGTTGAGGCAGGCTGCAACATATTTTGCTGCCAGTGTGGCCAAATCTTTCTTCTCTCCCAGAATGAGTGGTAGTTTTTCTTCATTTGTGTAGTTTTGAAACTCAGGGAGGATTGAGTTGAGTTCACTGAATTTCTAATTTCAGTATATTTGGTGTACTGGGTTAAGAAGTGCAGCTCTGTCTCTCTGGCCCCCAGACTGCAGGGCGAGCACAGCCTCTCCTCTCCGGGCAGCCAGGTCTGCCTGTGCCAGCCTTTTTCGATGGCTAGGCTGTGCTCACGGAGTCTGTATGCTGTCAGGGTTTTCCTAAGTTTTGTGTCTTTTATGAACTCAGGTAAGCAGCAGCTGTTTATTTCGTGTTTTAGAACAGAATAGCATTGTAGTTAGTGCTGTGTTCTCTCTCTCTCTCTCTCTCTCTCTCTCTCTCTCTCTCTCTCTCTCTCTCTCCATAAATGCACTGAAATGCAAGTGGGTACTAGGCTACAAATCTTGCTAGTAGCTTACCACAGGTGAACAAAAAATAGAGATCACCGTTGTAGAGTATCAATAGTTTGTGCACCTTCAAATCTTTCTACCAGGTTGTGCTTTCTGAATTGTGGCAATGCTATACAAATCCAAACGGGCTGTTTTAAGACAAAAATGCTCACTTTAAGTTTAGCCACAAGGATGAAAAGTCATGAAATGGTTAATGGATAGAAACCACAGCTTTTAATTTGTTTTAAATAGGTAACTCGCCAGGAAATGGAAATAATCGGGGCTACAGCAGCCAGCAGAAGGCAGTTATAAATGGAGAGAAAGAGACTCCTCTGCAGCCTGCAGGGAGGAGATCAGCGGCAGTGATTAGTGCATCACAAAGCAGTCAATATAAATGTTGAATTTAAATGAGCTGCTGTGACAGAGCTATTCCGGAAGGACAATGTTGATAAATCTTCTGTGACCTCACCATCAATTGTAAGTTTTACAAACAAAACACTGGTCAGCATGAGGGCAAATTCCTCCCAGCTTCACTGCTTGTCATCATCTGTCTGTATCAGGGGAAGCTCATAATGACTCGAATTCAGACCGGTTCAAAGCGCTCATACATCACTTGTTGGGATAAATCTTTCTCACTGGAGTTTATAAACATGAATACGATGATGGGCAGAGGCACAAATATCAATGGTGTGAATGATTTCTTTTACATACCAGAGTTGATCCGCTGTTGCACCAACAAAAAGCAGCATCACACAGCTAAAAGACCAACAAATGACTCAGTGAAGATCAGAGTCAAGGGCAGTCCAGTCAGGTTCATTATGGGCATCACAATATACCAACCCAGTTGTGGAAAATAAAAAATGATGACGTGTCTCAGGGAGCCCTATTAATGCTACCCATTATTATAGTAATAATACAGCAGTGGTGTTACAGTAGATCCTCGCCCTCCACACATGAGGCCCAGGTTTAATTCCTGGCAAATGTAATGACCTTTTCAACCTCAATCATATCAGAGAAGAATAACAACTGCTGCCCTTTCAACCACATCATATCATTGATTGCTCAACGGGGAAGTTTACACCTTCCTTGGGGGGGGGGTCTGTATGCCATTTCTGGCCAAAGCAGTAATGCAACCTGAGTTAAATGAAAACTGAATGTGATTTATCTATCCATCTATCTATCTATATTGTTAAGATCAAAACATAATGAGAACATTTGATTAGTAATTTAAATAGAAAGCAAATAAGAAATCCTTAGAGAAGTAAAAGTTAAATGTAGCTTTTTATTTATTTGAGTTACAGTAAGCGGAGTCAGTGAACTGCTATCAAACCCCAAACCTACTAATGTCACACCAGAGTGGAACTCGAGCACCCCAACAGCCTCTCTGGTTAGCTCAAATGCCTCTCTGGGGTGACCTAATGGGGCAAAAGTAAACCTTGACTGTAACCACAACCCTGAACATAGAAGAGATGCCACTTTTTATTTTTGCCTTAGAGAGACTTTGTGCTTTTGTGTGAAACAAATATTCTGTATTTGGTGCCTTTGTCTTAACTTTTGCATTGGATATAATTTAGTGTCTCTGTCCTGTAAAGAACATATGCACACAGAAATGTGTTTTGCATTTCTACAGTTTAACAACAACAAATCACTCTCTGATCAACCAATGTCTCTGTGTGTGTTGATCTCGAGGTTTATGGTTTTAATTTACAGCATGTATGCAATACAAACCTCCTGTACAGAACAGTCCAAGTTGGATAAGGCAAATAGGACATTGAGTTTGAAGTTTGAAATCATAGTAGACAGTGTTTGATCAAACTTTCACTCCATGGATATGAAAGTGTGTCACTGTCATCATCATGGATCACATCATAAAAGGTTGGTGAAGACCAGGAGAGTTCTGAATCTTTTGTAACATTGTGTCACCTGATGTCTGAACTTTATGCAGGCAGATACAGTTTTGTTTTATAACAATTCAATTAACTGATCAGAAGCCATTCCCCTCGCAGAATGCTGAACATTTTACTGTTATTTTCTGATACAAATGCAGTTTGAAAATAGGAAAATATAGAGAATAGCATAAGTATTAATTAATTCAGGTGCTCCTATTATTTTGTCCACCCCTATGTTGTCACTGTTTATTTGCTGTTGTCAGTGAAGTAGAGACGAAATGAGTTCGCATGACAGCCTTTTGATAGCAACATCTAATATTCTTACTGACTGAGATCTCTGCTGTGCTCTCCAGAGCTGGCAATGCGATCCATCAATCAGACACGTACACAAACGGGCACACAGGCACACAGGCGCACACATACACACACACACACACACAAAGAAGAAGAAGAAGAAGAAGAAGAAGAAGAAGAAGAAGAAGAAGAAGAAGAAGAAGAAGAAGAAGAAGAAGAAGAAGAAGAAGAAGAAGAAGAAGAAGAAGAAGAAGAAGAAGAAGAATTAGAACCAACATCAGCCTAAAGCAAAGCACAAAGTCCATTTGGCCGTGTCGGTGCTCACAAAGGCAGCAGTATTCCTCTTAGAAGTGAATCAGATGAGATCTTTGAAGTCTGGTCTGGGTTAAACCTTGATAATGGATTCTTTTATCAGCGATTTCCTTGTGTAAGAAGGTGAATGCAAAGCATTTGGCAGAGGAAAAAAAGATTCCCTTTTATTCTGCTGTGGAAATATTTTCTATGTTGGAGAAATACACAAAATTTTCCTATTCCCCCTGCTGTTCTCTGGCTTCTGACATTGAATTTACTGCTCCGAAGCATCAGATCCACAGAAAAGATATCTGCTAGAGAAATGCACAAGGAATGTATTAGATATTAGATATCTCTCGTGCTGCCTGCAGACCCATTTGAGAGGTGTTTGTTCTCAAACAGCCTCTATGATTTTTTCAACAGAAAATGATGTCTTGTTTTATGATTCATAGGTTTTTTTTTTACAATTGTAAACACCTCCATTTCAAAATAGAGCCTGCAAGAGACGGAGGAGAAAGGGTGGTACGGAGAGGAAGAGGATTCTGCATGCGTGGTAGAGTAAGACAACAGCAGAGATGACCGAGAGCTGTAGACTGTGATGACATTAGGGCTACTGTGGTAACCAGGTAATCATCCATGGGCTGTCATTTAAAGAGACTGGTCTCAGAGAGCAGCCAAATGTGGCCTGGTAAAAGAGGTCAAATATGTATTGTGAAAAGGCATAACTGCATATTACCAAAATTAAAATCTATTGCTTGTATGTAATTCTTGTATGTTAGTCCCAACGACTAACCCCCACTGGGGGTATTTCTTTTAGAGAGTCATGGAGCTAGAAGCCAATCACACACACCATGTTTTTTATCTATGGACTTGGCCAAAACACGCTGGTGAGGACAGAATTTCATTGGCAAAAGAGCTAAAGTGGGTGTTCCAGGGGAGCCAATGGTACCATGTGTGCAGTGCTATCCTCTGATGGAGTGCTGCTATACAAATGCAAGAGACCGATTACAGTTTTTTCTGATTGCTTAAGCACATTTTTTGTAACTATTGGCTATTTTTGCAAAACTCTACACACAAATAAGAAAACCTTTCACCCAATTATCAAAACATTGTAGTTCTCTTGCAAAAGCCAACACAGCTAGATTAACTCTTCACACCTTTGTAAAAATGGTGTTTTCGTATCAAACAGTAAACATAAGCCATCATCTACTAAGCACACAATGTGCCAACTAGACACTGATGGTATGAATACAAAACACATCTGGCTTTTGCTTTCTCTGTGTACAGATGTCAATTTGAGGTCATACTTTTGTCATAGTGTCATGTAAACATACAAGGATCCAAACTTCAAGTATTGGTGTTTATTCACACTCATCAAAACCAAGACAAAGTCAGAACACAAAATAGTAATTTCACAAAAAAAAACAACCAATCAGCCTACATCATGTCATCTTTCTGGGTCTGGCCACAAAATTTCGTCCACATCGCATGCGATATCCTCCAGTCCAAGGCACCGGGGAA